AAACTGTTGGATGCATTCAGGAGGAGGAAATATTTGGAAGGCATACAAACAAGCCTAGTTCCACAAAAGGCAGAATGTAACTTCTCATTAACTTTACCAATCTGCACAGAAAACAACAAACTTTTTTCTGATTAAGAAGAAAAGAGTGTGTCACCACATAAGAAAAGAAAGGCTAATCTGGATCATGTGATTTTGCTAGATAAAAGAATGTTTATTTACGAATATTGCTACTTGTACCAGAGACCAGAGCGACTTACCTTGAGATCTGGAGTGGAATACATTCCATACATATGAACTTTTTCATGTTAATGGAGTTATGTCCACCAAAAAAAGGGGTGGGGGCTGGAGAGGAGAAGGAGATGGTGAAGTGATGGGAATTATTGCTATAAATAAAAATAACAGAAAAAGCTGCAAGTCTGACAAACTTCTCCTTCTCCTGCAGTCCCTGTAAGGACATGGGGACACCAAGTTTAATTACATCAATACACATTTGCAATTTTGTTGTGTGCAATGAGTAGAAATTATGGAACCATAGGGCTTTATATGTTAGATCCTGCCTGCTTCCTCTGCTGTCTTGCTGAAGTGTAAGTGGCTGAGAACAATATAAATTCTGCTTGCTTTTCATGCTTGTTTTTTGATACCACTGCTTTAACTTGCAATGATGCAAATCTGTTAAACTTCTCTGTCTACTTTTTCCTTACTCTTTTGTTTTTGCAATGATACAATAAATGAATTTGAGGAAAAAAAATGTAGTAGAAATTTTACTGTTCTACATAGGTCGATTGTGTTTTACAATACTATACTGAGAATTACATGAGTTTATGATGTATTACCTCATCTATGGTGAAACAGACATCGAATTGGGATTTTAAAATTGATTTTAATATAGCCATTGCTGGCATGCTGCCATCAATGCCTGCAACTCCCCACACTGGGGAGACAACAGCGTGCCTCATAATTGGAGGTCAGACTATAGTAAAGTCGGCCTCCCCTGATCAGTGTAATTAACTGAGCAGGAAGGTTTGGTGTAGGACCTCTGAAGTTACATTTTCCTTGCTGCCATTCACATTACCAACTCAGAAGGAGAAGCAACAAGAGCCGCAATGTCCTGTTGAGTAGATAGTGTAAAGAGAGAAAGTTCACATTTCTTGGCATTGCACCATGTCTAGTAGGACTGAAAATGTGACTTCAGAAGATCTCGTTAACCAGAAAGATAGCTGCATCTTTCTCACCTTCCATACACAGGTAGCACATGCAGGAGAGTACAGGATCAGCTTAGATTGATGAATACTCTGTCCTTGTTCTGTGCTTTTTCCTGTGGATTCTTTCTTCAAATCACTTTCTCCTTGGTGACTCATGATTTTGTGTTAAAATTTTGTACTGGAGCCAGATCATAGGAAATCCAGAATCTTGAACTGTGTCCAACTGTTCGTGTAGCTCCACTGAGGTGGCTGTTTCTTTGAAGAATTGTGTAAGTGTACCAAAGTCTGGCTTTTACTGTTACTTATTTTCACACTGTGGTCATGCTCTTCCTACTCAGGAGCTTCATTGTTTCCAGTGTAGGCTTCTGTCTAGATCTGGTGGGTCCACCCTTGTCCGACAAGTAATTTCTCCATAGCTTTGTCTTTTCTTTAATGTTGCTCTTCAGTTTCCTCCTGTTCCATCTGCCCTGTACATCCTAAAAAGATCCCAAATGTGGAGTAAATCGGAAGGCATTTCTCATTCTCTTGGGTTTTGAACTGCTTATGCAAATTCATAATTTGACATTATTAACAAGCCAGAAGAATCATTGTTTCTCAGTGTCTGTATACATGCATGCCTTTGTTATTCCTTTTGACATAAAACCAAAATTAGTAATAACGACTCTGATTCATCAGTTCAAAAGCTATCTCCTACTTTATAAACAAAAAATGATTAAATAATGCAGACAAAACTTAAATTTTGGGCTTCACATAGTATTAGTTTCCTTGTTTTTTGGATTTTTAAATCAAAACATTTATTTTCTGTAGTGTCTATGCCATAACTATTTAATTGAATCCAGTGTAACATGTATGTATCAGAGAACTAATCAGGATAAACCAGCAGGAATATTTCCCAGATAAGGAACTGAATCCAGACATCAGCCCCAAGCTAGGAAGGGAAAAGTCTCTTGAGATTTTGTTTTCTCACTTCTTGTCCATTTAATTTGTTATTCCCATGCTTTCATGTACTTGATGGCTGCTTGACAATTTTATTGTGTGTTGTACTGTCCCTCAGTGATCACACCTCCCTCTCTCTTACTCTCCCCATGAAAACACAGCTCACATCTGATACTCATCTCCTCTAGCAACAGTTCTATTGTCCCCTTGATATGTACGTGTAACTCCCAGTGCTGTCAATAGGAATTACATATGTGCATCAAGGAGAGCAAATTCCCTCGTGTACTCTGTTCACCTCATTATCTTAGCACAGTCAGTTCTGTAGATGTCTCATCTATGAGCCTTTTTATTCTCTTGAGCGTTGTGTAGTGTAGCAAGTTGGCTCTGAGGATCAGCAGTTCTGCTCTTGAGGTGTTTAGCAAGTTGATTTAATGTGCATGTAGAGTTTCTTAAATGTCTACATCCAGCCAAACCCACATATCGTGGTGTTCATATGTGAGATGGCGGAGCTTTCCATTTCCTTTTTATGCATGAATATCAACTCATAACCAGTCTCTCAACAGACACAAAGTGAAGTACGACTCTGAAGCTAACCTTCCCAGCTAACACATGTTCAGTCCCAGCTCAGACCTCTTACACTTAAATGCAATAATTCGTGAAAGTTCAATAGCTGCAAAAATGTAAATGGCAGATTTTAGTTCTCTTTAAAGACCTGAAGGACGGCATTTTACGAACACTTCACGTTAATTGCTTCTAAACAAGGGGATGGCTGAAGTAGTAACTAATCTGTCAGCCAAGTTTCAACTCTTTCCAAAACGTGGTCGTTGTCAAGGGTTGAGGGAAGATAGCAGAGTGGAAACTTCCGTACCTCTAAGCCAGTGATTTCCACTGACTGAAGAAGGGGTCTGTATTCTCCTTTTCAGATTATCTGATCCTTCTGGAAATTCCTTACTTTGGGGAGCTACCTGGTGTCTCATATAGCTTAGTGTTAATGGAAATGTAACTGGGAAATAATTCACTGCATTTCCAATCATTCCATAAGCACGGAATCAGTAACCACAGCTTAGAAAAGAAGGATGGCAAACTAGTTTGGGAAAAAAAAAAAAAATCCCTTTGCCATCAGATTAGAAATCCACTGTAAACATGTCGAAGAATTCTATCTTTTTTTCACTACTGCTCTGCCTTTTCTTCACAATCTGTTGTGGTGTCAGACTTATTTTGACAATACTTGTAGAACTTGTCATATTAACAAAGTTATCAAAGAGAGTGAACACATGCATAGCAACGGCTGCAGTCCAGCAAGAGTCAGAATTGCTGGCCATAGGTTTGAGAAAGGAAATATTCACGCTTTGGTTGCACAGATCCAAAACATCCCCAGAAGTCTCCAGAGTAGTTCTATTCATGTAACAGCAGCAGCTGCCCTTCAGCCTGGAACGATCTACTGCAAACTCTGGAATTTAGGATAAAAATAAAAGGAGCAAATTTAGATTATACGTATATATATGTAAAGATATATTTTTTTCTATCATAGTGACACCTGATTGTTTTTTGCTTTAGTTCAGATGCTCCATAAAAAGGGGGTATACACTAAATTCAAGGCAATGATGGGATTTATTCAGTGTTATATAACACGCTCAGAAATACTTGTTTAAAAACAAAATAAACCCTATAATCCACCAAGGCTGTAAATTGGTGGGGTAGGAACAATCTTTTCATTATATGTGCCTACAGAGCTCAGTACAATGAGGTCTCAGTTTGTCGTTAACATCTCTAGGTGTTAACACAATGCCATTAAATCTACTCAATAGCAAAAGATGCAGTCAGTGGATTTATGTGTCTCATTCCTTAGAAAACGTGTGAATCCAACAGAATAGTTTAATGGCTAGATTTTTCTGCCGCAATGTCTGATTTTGCACGTACATCAGATAGTATGCATCTATTTATGCAAATTGCTGTTGGATTTATATGCACAAAATATACATGCCTGAGAACGCTTATTTGTGGAGTCGAGCCGCATTCAGAAAGGGAAAAGATTGCATTCGGATGCCAGGTTCAGGCTGGATGGGAAGAACTGGAGCCAAACTTAGCACTGGAAATTGCAGCTTTCTGCTCTCAGAGCATCGCACAGCACCAAGGACTGGCTGTTGTGTTCTGGGTCTGTTTGATTCTTATAGCAGGAAACCTCCCATTTAGCAGTGTTAGCCGTGCCCTCTGCTGATGTGCACGGGACCAGGCCTGACTCATGGGCTCTGTGCACACCACATATTCAAACTGCTGAGGAGCCTGTTCATTTTTCTGCCTTCCACTTTTTTTTTTTTAAACCCTGATCTGGATGAACCTCTGATAGACGGGTTCTCCCTGCAGATGTGCTGCTCTGCCATGCTTCTTTCCCCCACTCACAGCTCAGGTTTTCCTCACAGAACATCACAACCTTTCCTAGTCACAATTTTCCTTAGGGATCTGTGAGATTTTCACCCGGACGTGTCGCCTTTTGCCCCAGTGGCTGTGTCATTCCCCTGAGAACTATACTTTTCCACTGGATATATGACTTTTTCTACTGCCTTACACTACTTTTTCCTCAGTGGATTCATTTTTTGGCAACTTTCCCCCTCACTAAGCACATCCTTTCCTTGAACGTGCTGATTTTTTCACCTCACTGCGCTATTTTTTCTGTCAGTTCCCCCCTGCCCCCTCCACGCACAGTCAGCCTCCGTTCCCCCACCCTCCTCTCGGCCCCGCGCGGCGGCGGGGCGGTGCTGTCCCTTTAAGGCGGCGCGTGCCCGCGCGCCGCGGGGCGAGGGGGCGGGGTTTGTTGGCGGCGGCGCGCGGCGGGCGCTTCACCTGCAGCCGAGAGCGGGCACCGAGAAGCGGCGGCGAGGTGCGAGAGTGTGTGCGGTTGTTGCCGCTGTCCCCGCGCAGCGCGGCCGGAGCACGGCACGGGGCGGCCAAGCGCACCGCCACGGCCCGGCGGGCGGGCGCCGCCGGGGCGATGAGGACCGGCTTGCGGCTGCTGCTGCTGGTGCTGCTCGTCTGGGGCTCGGCGGCGGTAAGTGGGGGGGCACCGGCGGGCGGGTGGGGGCAGCAGCCCGGCGCCCCGCTGTGCTGCCTCCGCTCCCCGACAGCCTCGGCAACTTCGGGTGTGGGAGCGGAACCGCAGCTTTCTGCAGCTTTTCCCGTTTCTCCTTTTCTTGCGATTACTATTAATTATTATTCGCTTTAAATCCAATGTCTTGGTGGTGCCGTTAAAACTCGTCCCCCGGCCCCCATTCCCCATACGCACCGCCGGGCAAACTTGGCTTTGCGGCGCGTCCCGGCGGCACCGCCGCCCAGCCGCCCCGTTTCGCCGGCTCCAACTTTTATTCCGTCCGCCCGCAACCATCCCGAGGGGCCGAGCCGTGCTGGGGGCTGACGGGCTGAAAAAGTTGACTGCTTTTTCCTTTATTTCTCTTCCCCCCCCCCCTCTCGCCAAAGCGCTACCCGCAGCGCACCGCCAGTGCCCGCGCGTGGCCGCAGTGCTCGGTGCTGCGCGGAGCTCCCGCTGGCTCTGCTGCTCGCTCTCCGCCCGCGTGCCGCGGTGCCGCGCGGGGCTGTCCCACGTCTGAGCTGCTGTGCTAGCATGTAGCACGAGAGCGGCTGTAGTAATGGGGCGATTTCGGATTGGAAGCCTATTATCTTCAGCCATCCCCTTTGAAATGTTTCCTAATTGCAACATCTTGCCAGCGCCGGGCAGAGCTCGCGGTGCCGCGGCTTTCTGCATCTTCCCGTGCGATCGCTGCCAACCGTTTCCCGAGCTGGGGTTCTCGCGGAGTCCGCTGCCTTGCGTTCTACAACGAACGGACTCTTCCCTCTGTCTGTAATGCGGCACTGCTCGCGGGTGCTGGGGGGAAGCGCAGAGCCAGGTGTGTGCCCGGAGTCGCTCTTTCCCGGGCAAGTGATGCTCCGGTCCTATAGCTGTACCGCTGCTGGAGCCGGGCTCAGCCGCGCCGCAGCTAGCTCAGGAGCAGCAGAAATAAAATCCCTTGTCACCAACACTTGCTTATGCGTCGATCACCGGGCACTCGCTGCGTGCAAATAGCCAGTTCACGTGCCTTCAACGAACGGGCGTTGAGACTTTCTGCGCTGGGACGGCGCGTTCCGTCCCTACGGCTGCACTGATTTGCCCTCATAGCAAGGAGCGCTTCTTGCAGGACAATACAAAGTTGGGACGGAGCAGCTGAGCACTGAGCCGGGTGCTGCTCCTGGGTGCCTGCTGGTTGCATGCGGGCTGCGCTATTAGATGGCACTGTTACATTTCTGTTGGCCATCCCTCCACCTCCCCCATAGCTGGGGCACGGGCTGAACCTGGTGGTATGGAAGCAGCAGCCGCTAGGCTGGTGCAGGGAAGGGGGGGGGGGAGGGGCGAGGGGTTGTCATGGGCTGCAAGCTCCTGGGGCAGCCACAAGCTTTGGGGGCCCATCTCCCATCCTGGGGCTCGCCCTGGTTCTCTACAACAAGACTCAGTGATCTGGATGTTGCAACATTGGGCCTTTGCGTGGCTTCAGGGTGAGCACTGCTAGCTTGATGAATTGCTGCTCTTTGTTTCCTTCCCTTCTTCTAACTGTGCCCAGTATACAGCCTTCCTACAAACAATGCTTTCTGTTGTAGTCATGCAACTTGTTTCTGGCCCATTTTATTTTTGCAGCTACAGTATGGATCCATGCCAACAGACAGGCACTTTAGCATAGATAGTTTCTACTTGCACGCTGCTTTACTGTCTGGGTTTGCCTGTGCTAAGCACTTCATCATTGCGTGCAGAGTGTTGTACCAAACCTCGAAAGTCATAGTGTGTGTTTTACTTCTTTGGTTTTGCAGGCACTCAATGGGGATCTTACAGTTAGACCCACATGCAAGCCTGGCTTTTCAGAAGAAGACTACACAGCGTTCGTTTCCCAGAATATTGTGGAAGGCCAGAAGCTACTCAAAGGTAAGTGGAATAAAATGCATTAATAGGCGCTGCAATAACTGTACTTGGGGAGGTGAAAGGAGACTTACGGATGCTGGTTGTGATGGTGAAATTGTCTGCAGAATTATGTTTGTAGGAGGATGAAACACTAAGTGGTTTACGTGAGCGCGGTTTTGAATACAGATGAATCACTCCAGGTTCACGTGCTGTCTGCTTCAGGTGCATCGCTTGCCTGTGCTACGCGAGGTCAGCACTTTGCTTTTAAGTCTCCCACTCCCACCCTGTCTGAAGGGACTCTACATTTGATATTTTAGAAAGTATTTTTATGTATGAAATTCAGAGATCCTTAAATTATCTGTGCTTTGAAATGCATGATAAAGCAGACGTTGTTGTTGGAAATGTGGTAAACAAGCCTACAGACATTCTGTTCACAAATGTGGCATTCATTTTCATTACTGCCCCACTGACAACATGAAAACACAGGCAGAAAGAAACCACCAATTAGCTTTATAGTAATTGGAGGATTATAACCACTTTTGTGATTGTAAACTCTGAGACATCTTCGTAATCCAAATAACAATAGATTTTCCTGTGTATTGATCTGTCTCCCTTTCAAGTTAAAAATAATTAAACTTTGTATTTGCATGATGCAGAAAATCGTTGTTTTTCTTGAAGATCAAAATCCCATCCCCCTCCCCAGCCCCCTTCTTAAGTTTAATCGCCAGCCACTAGTGGATGCTACAGCAGTTCTGAAAACACAGCATGCTGTAGGAATGGAGAGCACAACAGGTTCCGCTACCCTGCAAAAGGGATTGCAAACCCTTTGCTACCTTCTCCTGAGTGCATTTACTCTCATGCACGTTCCTCTGCCAGAAAGCTGGCGTTTCTGTCTTCCTGCACAGCCACCACCTGCTCTGTTACTTTGATTTCTAGGGAGATAGAGAGCTGTATTCTTTCTGGCTTCAGAGGAATCCAGGGCTGAATGTTTTCTCTCCACATGAGTTGGCAATCAGTTTTGTTTCTAAGCCTGACTGTCTTTGTTTTGCTGTTCAGGAATTCTCTTGACTGGCCTGGCATCAGCTGGGAGATGTTGGGGAATTTATTTGTTGTTTGAAAGATAGCCAGCTAGAGGGCTGGACACAGACAAACTCGAGAGTAAAACAGAGCAGTAAATATTAGAGGTGTAGTACCAAGTGTTTTCATGTTTAGTAGCAATTTTTCCAAAACTAGAGGTTGCAAGGTCATCCAAACCAGTCTGTGAACTGAGTACTTTCACACTTCTTAGCTTTGGAAGTCATCTGATATGCAGCATCCTCCAAAGACTGGAAGATCACATTGTTAATACACTTGCTTGGAGGACTATTTTTTTGTGTGTGTAGTTGATATGTTGCAGTGTGTGTTCGTGTAGGTGGGCGCAGGTCTGTTCAGCAATGAATGAAGGCAGCAGAGTGGCTGTCATTTCATTTTTGGTTGCAAGTGACCGCCTTTAAATGTGGAATTATATTTAGGCTGTCAGGTTGATTTGAATGGAAAAAAAAATGTATTTAATGAACATTAATTTCATCCCTAGGATCCAGTTGTAGTTTTACATTCATTGTGGTGAAACTGCTGCTCATTTAGGGTCGAACTGCCCCCCAGATGTCATACTGCTGTAAGATTTGTGTCTTGGTACATTGTCCCTGGTGACGTGATTTGTAGCAATTCTGTCAACTGAAGGAGAAGGGGGGGGGGGGGGAATAAGTGCAAATGCGGTGTTTGCTAATAAGTGAGCTATCATCTTTACACCTTCTAATCATCAGCCAAATACATGCTGCTGTTTATCAGAGGAAACTAATATATTTAATTAACTTGTGGGATAATGGGGGAGGAAATCTGCTGCACAAAATCCCTTTTTTGTGCTTGTGTTGTTCTTTATATTTTAGCATGTAAAATTGGTAGTTTTCCAGTTTAGATTTAATTTTACTTCCTAACACTTGATATGTCTGAGGCATAAAATGTTTATCTCGTTCTTCCATCTGGGTGAAGTATTGTACAATAGATCAGACCAAAAATGGGTTCAGATTGCTTACATTAACATGTTTGATAGATTGACATATGTACTGTTTCACACCATCTCACCACGCAAAGCTTTGCTGCCAGCTACCACCATCTTATTCATCAGCATTCAGCAATTCATCTTTGGGCCAAGTGGGGCTGTTTGCACTGAAAAATACAAAGCAGGTAGGCATTCACCTGATGGTCATAGGCTTCATAGGTTTGGTGGAAAGGGGTTTATATACTTGAAATGGCTCTCAGGGGCTTCCCTGAGCAAATCCCAAATCTGTGTGCTGTGTAAGAACCATTCCCTCCCTGGGAAAGAGAGGGGGGACGGTTTGCAGTGCCTGAGGATGGGTTCAACCTTGGCCAAATCATCATTTGGGCAGATGTGATGCAGGTGGTCAGCCTCAGGTGTTGAGAAGTACAGCTGCTGGGTGGTTGGAGGATATGCTCTGGTCCTAGGACTGGTTTCCCTTTTAAGCTTGCTGCATTGTAGCAGCATGGTGAGTGTATCTAAGTAAGTGCCTAAAGTATTCTAGGTTTGAATTGAGTTAAACAGGTCGTGGCTGCTTATAATTGACTTATTCCAATGGAAATAGCTTAGTCCTAATTTGACAACAAGAGCTTTTACAGAGTCATTGTTTTATTATAAGTATGCCATAAGCTATTAACTACTATGTTGTGGTTCATCTTATTTGCCTGAGTCAGCTCTTTAACATCCTCAAAACATACAGATTCTAGCAGGAGCTATTTGTTACACAGTAATTAACTTGTTTATGATAAATGGATGGGAGAAATGTCACGGCATTTTGTTTTATGTATAAATGAAAAGCATTTGCATTCTAAAAATTTCATCTTAATTAGACTTAAAATAGTTTTCCCCAGTAGGGCCGCAAATACCACGTACTACACATCGCTGCTGAACGCTGTATCCCAATGATGGGGTATTTGCTGAGTTAATTCATGGAGCCTGCACCTTCCACAGAAATGCCATCCTTGCATCTCCTAAATTAGCTACTGGAGTAAAATCCATTTATTTTTGTCTTTGTTTTTGTTTGGAAGATAATAAACTGAGTGTGATCACTGATGCATGATAATATTTAGGACGGTTGGTTGTTTTCTTCCTTAGGGGAAAAAAAAAATCAAAAACATCTCAAAGCTGCTCTATGACAGAAAACAATTACAACTCAGGTGTCTTTTCCCTCTGTTTTTTCCTCTTTGTTTTTCATTATTAACATGAAGTTGAAGTGGTGAGAACATCGCTCCCTAGAGGTGGGGAGCACTGACATGATGTGCTGCACTGAGAGAGCTTGGGACTGACTCTGGGATCTGTCTCAGAGCTGAGGCTCAGGTGATCTTGTAGGGAAAGAGCTATGAGGAGCAGGGTGCTGAAGATGGTATGCGGGATGGTTGTACAAGGCAGGCTGATGCTCCGGACACTGACTGTTTTTCTAAGATCTTTGAAGACTCCAAAAATGACATCTTTAACAGTGAGAAGTTTGAATTTTATTGGTGAAAACATGGCAACTGGCAGTGGGTGTTAATGGCATTGTCTTTTCCAGCCCAGTGCCATCATGGTTAACCCTGATCACCTCCCGGAGATGCAGCTAATCCCTATTACTGTTTGTGTGTCTTGTAGCCTTCCATAGAGCCAAGAGACAGTGTAAGCAGTGAAGGCACACAGCCCTTTCTTGCTGTTTTTTTTTTCCTTTGCTTCTCTTCATCTACAGTGATTCATGGTTCTGTTGCCCATCTGAAATAGTGCCTGTACCAATGTAGCAGGATAACTCTGCTTGTGTGGGCAGCTGCGTTTGGGTAGGAGCGTTTGGAAGCACAGTTTGTTTCCGTGCAGCAGTCCGAATGAGCTGCGCCAGCTTGTGCTGCTTTCAGCACGTGTGTGAAAGCAAAGGTAGCCATACTCCAGGCAAACTATGGTTTTCGCTATCACGCTTCTTGTTTACAAACAAGTAAAACATGTAAACTTTACTGCAATAGCTGCCCTTTTTATTTTTATTTTATTTTATTTTTTTTTCCCCAAATGTATTCTACAAGGAACCACCTCACTGCTGGTCTTAAAAGAAGGATGTTCTTTGTGGCTGAAGCCTTTTGTTCTCCCCTCAAAAGCTTCAGAAACTCCTCTGTTCAGCCCTTGCCACCTTTAACAGTTGGACTTAGGAAGGCTGTGAGAGTTTAGAAAACAAGAACGGATAGAGCAAACACCCCAGTCTTCCTATGGCAGCGTGCAAACAAATATGCAATTGAAATACAAATAATGGGAGGTGGTGGAACCTGAATAAACCTTTGCAAGCTGTGTTTGAAGCTGGTTGCTAGTAATTCACATGGCAATAACTAGGGATATGTCCTGTACCTGCTTTTGTACTGCATTCCTGTGGTTCAGACGATGCAGGAAACTGAATGTGTCCTGTGGATTGTGTTAAGGCAGGGTAGCAGCAGCTCTGCTTGAAAAAAGCCACAAAATACTGCTGCATATGTGATGTTTGACCCTGACAGAAAGACTGATTCTGGTAACGCTTCTAGGAGAAACACTGGTGGTTTTGCTAAGCACCTACAGTAACAGATAACCTAGCAAGTGCCCAGGGATCTACTGGGGGTATTGACATGGAACGTGTATCTGCAGTAAGTGAATTGGCTAAAGGGGATGCAATCCCCATTATGTGTGTGGTTTCCCACTTCTCTTGTGAGTAGAATCCATAGGTACCCGCCTGGTATTAATTCCATATTCTCAGCACCCTCTGGGCTGTCTGGGCGTTCTTAGGAAGCAAGAATCATGAGGGATGCTTTGTTCATTCTGGGGTTCTGCCAGGCTTCAGTAGGGTTGCCCAGCATGCTGCAGCAAGGCGTCCACGCTGCAACCTGCTGACAGACCCAGTGGCTTCTGCAAGCTGCTCAGGGCTCGAAAGGAGCCTTTCCCTTCCTGCTTTTATTATTTTCTGGTCTGTGATTCTGCATGAAAAGCAACTACT